TAAAGTACATTAAAAGTTTTAACATGAAAAACATCAATAATTCACTCCATGGGCTGATCTAAAGGTACCTTTACAAAGGGGGATAGGAAGATAATTAATTTATATGAAATTCAGTTTTTTTTTTTTGTTTTTTTTTTCATGACTATTGATTAACTATATTTGAAAAATCAACTTCATTGTGAGAAATATGCTTAAAATTTTCAACCAATTTGGCAAACAAAAATCCAAGACCATGGCAGTTTTTTTCTTCAATATGTTTCAGTAACACATGTTTTTGTTTATCCACACAAGTTTTCATTGACAAGAATTGAAATCTTCTAAGAAATTTTAATGTTCCCTGCATTCTGAAAAAAAACCTGGAATCATTACTTAATACTTAATAATAATGGCTATAAATGTCCATGTGGCTAATGTCAATGCATAAAATAATGCAGTGTAGGGAAAAAAAGGAGTAAACCATTGAAAAAGTATACAATAAAATAGACATATAAATATATCAGTATTTTTTTTTTGGTCTATAGGAAATTCATCAGATCTATAGAATTTGAAATTATTGTAGACCAGTTGTCAATAGCTTAGAAAAGTTAGTTTAGCACACTGTTTTATTCATGCTGGTCTAATTTTAGACCCATTCTGACAATGCTAGCTTCACCTCCAATGCATATTTTTATCAATCTTATGTTCAATCAAGGGCAGGTAAGCGAAAATTCTCTTTATTTTGAATACAGTAGGAACGAAAAACATAGAATGAGTTCATTGTATCACAGTCTAAAATCATTTTAATTTTGTTCTGGATTGACAAGACTCTTTGATAAATAAACAAAAGTAAACAAGCATTCTGAAAGTATTGCATTAGCAATACTAGTCCCCTACCGGCAAGTGTAATCTGGTTCCCGTTAAGAATTGAAAATGTCATAATTCCATCAAAAATCAATGAAGCGGGGCGAAACGCAAACTTGATCTATAACTAATCAAGGTAAAGTCACATACCAAAAATCAGCTCACTATCTGAAAGCGTTTAGAAGAAAATTGCAGAAAACCCCTAAAAATTGAAAAGGCCATAATTCCGTCAAAAATCAATGAAATGGAAAAAAACGCAAAGTTGATCTGTAACTCATCAAGATAGACTCACATACCAAAAATCAGCTCAATATCTGCAAGCATTTAGGAAAAAAGTGCGGAAAACCAAGTGGGACAGACTGACAGACAGACAGAGGGACGGACAGACAGACAGACAGACAGACGGACGGACAGACTCAGAGGAAACCTATAGTCCCCTCCGGTTTCACCGGTAGGGGACTAATAAGGTTAAGAAACGAAAGCAACAGATGCGACCGAAAAAGACCCCAAACCCGGGATTAAGTGCAGTCAGCCTTTGTAAATGTGTAAATTGATGCTACCAGTGTTCAAAGATAAGGAAGTTTATGTGGTCATATGTTGAAAATATATCATTCCTATGAAAATCTTTATTATGTCCCCCTAATAGAAGAAGGGAAGGCATATTGCTTTGCTGCTGTCGGTCGGTCTGTCTGTCGGTCCAGCAACAGTTTCCATTCATTTTCTTCGCAGAAGTTACACATACTGAAATGAAATTTGGTATACAGATTTATCATAAGAATATCTAGGTCAAGTTTTGTTTTGGGTATGATCGAGCAATTTTTGACAGAGTTATGCCCTTTGGACTTTGAAAAATTCCAATTATTTGCAATTTCCATTCATTTTATTCACAGAGGTTGCACATACTGAAATGCAATTTGGTATACAGATACATGTATATCATAAGAATATCCATGTCAATTTTTGTTTTGGGTACAATCAAGCAATGTTAGACAGAGTTATGCCCATTGAACTTGGTAAAATTCCAATTATTTGCAGTTTCTGTTCATTTTCTTTGTAGAGGTTGCATATACTGAAATGAAATTTGGTATAGAAATTTTTATCATGAAAATATCTTGGTCATATTGGTATATTTTGACAGAGTTATGCCCCTTGGACCTTTTTGATTTTTTTTTCAGCATAAAAAAAATATTTATTTAATATGATAATGTATCATTTAAATCAGAATAATAGCATATAATTCTTTCATTGTCCTTGTTTTCTTAGTTTATATGTGGTTTTATGTAATAATTAAAGATGATATTGCCACAGCACTGAGCAGGGTCAGTCTGTACCCTCAACTTTAAGTGACACTGCAGAAAAAAAAATAGCATGATGACAATGACTTTTTCTCAGTAATATGTTTATTGTAAGTTAGTTGAATAAAATTTAAAGTTTGAAAAATTTCCCTCAGAAATCTAACCTGAGTTTTGCTCTTCCTTAAGTTTTATAATAACTGACAAATAATTGCTATTCTTAATTTTAAAGGAGGGGGTATATATATGACCAAACATTCTTTAAAGGGCTTGGAAACAGTTGCATTGTTGTTTTGTTTAGAGTTTTAAATTTCTACTTTTATGCAAAAAATAACTTCAATTTGATAAATTAAACTTTAAAGAACATTCTTAAAAATTTAATGACAAGGACATTCTTCATAACATTATGTTTAACATCTAGCTGTGTTTGTAAACATGGGCATGAGCTCAGTTATTGTTGATGTTTACATTATACTGGGTATTCCTTTATAAATTTGTCAAGTTGGAAATATCTTTTTTGTTTAATTACTGTATAGGGGATTAATTTCATGGGTTGTAATTTCCACGGTTTTCTCTCCTCTAACACGACCGCGATTTGTTGAATTCGCGGAATTGGTAGATAGTAAAAGTTACCTCCCTTGTTTATATCCGTTTAATTTATTAATAGCATAGCTAGAGCGAAATTAATCAGTGTTATGTATTCACTTCAGGAACAACAGGAAAGGTTTATATAAAATAGTTAGATTTAATAATTAATTGACAATTAATTAAAACAAGTGCAGTTATTAAAAGTCCTTGATAATAAACATCAAATAACTTTCCTATATGCTATTATGATGAGTGCATATACACTCCAAGATCTTCTTTCCAAAGGGATAATACATCACAGCGAAAAACCACTGGACGGTAATAAATGTGTTAATGTATGTCGACAAAGTAATATCCTTCCACATCTTCAGCAAGTTCGATAGTTATTTGAATGACTTTTTATTTTAAAACCAAAATGTCGAATAAAAACTATTACGCATAATAATGCAGGTAACAAATGCACGTGGTAACATTAGTTATGCACGGGTAGTCAAAACCCATGACCCACGTGTTTGGATTGACGAAACATGTAGCGTTGGCTATTAAAACAGCTTTTTAACAAATACATGTTATTATCTGCTGATTTGAATTAAAGTAAAGTGTGATAATTAAAATAATTGAAGGACAAGTACTACTTGTAATTACTGAAATGACCATGTACTGCACGTAAAAATACCTATCGTGGTCTATTCCCAAATTTCCAAATAAAACATGGAGGTTATTGAAAACTTATTCACTGTTTGTTGAATTCACGGATTTATTAACACTGTGAATATAGTGAATATTAACACCGCAAGTTATTTTCCCCCTATACAGTACCTGACAAGGTATGGTATAATTGTATTTTACTTATAAAATGCATTTCTTTCAGAAAATCAGAAAAGTTAAAGCAACATTTTATGTGAGTGAGCAGAGGGTTGTGAACATATAACATTAAAATTTGCTTATTGAAAGTGCAAGGCTGCCTGTCAATGAAAAACATCCTGAAATTTGCAGTTAAAATAATTTCTAGATAAAAGAAGTTTCTTTTAAAACAAGCTTTTATTATATTTTAATATATCTCGTGACGCAAGCCATGATATTATACAGAAAATATTAGAAAATTCTGTGTCAAAGCTGCTTTAATGACACAAATAAATACAAAATGTGAACACTTACATTAAATATTTTAAATATAAATTGAATACTGCATACTAAATTACATATCATATCTCAGATCTCGGGCCCCATATCAGCACTTGGGCTGACAAATATATGATATATAAGCTTTAGTATGTAATATTCTTTATATTAACTTACAATATGAATTTATGATTCATATAAATGTATAAAATTATTGTGATGTGAGATATTTTCAGATAAAATTCTGTCTTTCTATCACCTACTTAAATTCTCAATTTTAATTACTTTTTCCCTTAATCAACTAAAAATCAGTCAGTGTTCCAATGTTTTGTCTTTTATTCAAAAGTAGGTAATTTCTTATGAACTGAACTATCTTGCTCTTGTTTAAAAAAAAATAAAATCAAGTAAAAAAAAAAATCAAATATTTTCACAGAAATGCATTTTTCAAAGCATTCAAATCCTACTCAGGGACTTGGATGTGGCCAAGAGAATACCAGACTCTAGGGAGAAAATAAAATGCTTAATTTATAGATTTTAAACCTTTTCTAATTAAATTTTTATAATGAGGCCAAGGTAAATTAGGGTTATTTTATTTTAACATTTATTAGTTAAAATTTAACTTTGACAATAAACAAAATGGGAAAATCAAGAAGTTCATTTCTTTTTCCCTAAAGGGTGGCTTACTTATGGCATATCTGTTTTATGTGTATAGGATATGTATTTTTTCAAACACGGAAGTGATCGAGATTAGGATTTCTAATAGTAAAAATGGAATTGTTTACTTCTGGAAGGATATCGGCGGAAAAAATTTTCAGGGTCAGCTCATATATTTTAGGGTCAGTCTGGGAACTGGAAACACACAATTTATTTATCTAGGCCTGAAAACGACCACAGCATTTAAACTTTACATAAACCTTTGTTAAGGATTATCTCCCTCATGCCTAGCTCTGATCCTTCAACATATTTGGCTCCAGTCTTTGGCACCCCCCTTTTTCACCGCTTCAATTTATTTTAATTAAATATTTTGGATTTCCAATGTTCCAACATGAACATTACTGAAGAGACATAAATGTGCATCTAGTGCATCAAACTTGGTACCATAAAAGATTTACTTAAGATACACAATGCTCTACTTTTTCACATCGAGATCTATTTTAGGAACCACCAATCCAAATCATAATGGAAAAACTCAAGTGGATGATCCTAACACACCTGAAAGTTCCACAACAGAACACAGTAAATTCTCCAAAAATGGCATTTCCCATATTAATTCCTCTACTAAGGACACCAGCACTGAATGTTCACAAGAAATTTCTGCAGTACCTGAGAACCCTACTTTATCTACTGTTCCGATCTCTGTACATGATGCTAAAGTCTCAGGTAAATTGTTATCCTAAAAAAAAAAATGCATTAATATAAGTGTGTTTGCAGATCTGATCAAGATATATCTGGTGAAAGTATTTAGCAATACTGGTCAGAGACCAGTAGGTGTCCACAGTTTAAAAAAAAATATCACTCGTACAATATTTGTCTGATTTCACATAAACATGGTACACAAATAGAACAAGCATTCTGAGAGTATTGCATTAGCAATACTAGTCCCCTACCGGTAAGTGTAATCTGGTTCCCATTAAGAATTGAAAATACCATAATTCCGTCAAAAATCAATGAAACCGGACGAAACGCAAACTTTATCTATAACTAATCAAGGTAAAGTCACATACCAAAAATCAGCTCAATATCTGAAAGCGTTTAGAAGAAAATTGCGGAAAACCCCTAAAAATTGAAAAGGCCGTAATTCCGTCAAAAATCAATGAAGCGGAATGAAATGTAAACTTGATCTGTAACTCATCAAGATGCACTCACGTACCAAAAATCAGCTCAACATCTGCAAGCGTTTAGAAGAAAAGTGCGGAAAACCAAGTGGGACAGACTGACAGACAGACAGAGGGACAGACAGACAGACGGACAGACAGACAGACGGACAGATGGATGGACAGACTCAGAGGAAACTTATAGTCCCCTCCGGTTTCACCGGTAGGGGACTAATAAACATGTTCCAAGATACTAACTGTAATTCTGTGTATTGAGTTTAATTTTGATGAACAGTATTATTTTGTTTACTAAAAATAAATAATCTCTTAAACCTTCTTCAGATGGACTTTGCAACATAGATAGAATTAGGGCTGGGACGATTCAGGGTTCAATCGATTCGGTTCGGTTTCGGTTCAGAATGATACGGTTCGGTTTTTTTCGATTCAGTTCGATTTAACCTAAGACAGTCTAAATATTTCTCATCATAAATGAAAAATGATAACCTCTGCTTTAAAAACTGATTAAAATTCTTTACTCCAGTCTTCACAAAAACTTTTCTGAGACACAAACAAGTGAGGCTAGTGGATTTGACATTTTTACTAGCTAAAGTAAAATTTCTACTAGCCCAGAAAAATAACAAAATTTGAAACCTTTTGTTGTATTATTTTATTCCATTTCATAATGAATTACTCTTCTTTTCATATTTCTTCTGCTTATTTTCTCATTTTGTATTTTTCTTCTGAGTCAATGATAAATAAGTAATCAGAGAAATTATTTAAGGTTGAATTTAACAGAATGAACAATCATGCTAGAGATACCTTTTAACATGGTAGTACACATTCATCTTTTTTTCTGATCATTGGACTTCCTCTTCCAAAATGAAGTGAAAGCTAGGTGATTTATTGTTTTTAATTCAAATTTTCAGAAACAATGTTAAGTAATATATTTTTGATAACCCTTGTAAATCTTCAGTTAATTAGCTGAGTAGCTGGAAATAATTAAATCAATTAATGTGATATCTACATGTATTTTCCATAAAATTGGAATGGAGGAAATTCGGATTAGTAGAAAAAAGACGATCGTTTTCATGGTTTTTAGAAATAGCAGAGACCTTTATACTAGTATATAGGTCCCTGGAAATAAATAATGTAGAAGTGCTAAAAGAATTAGATAGAAGAGATATGAACAAGAGAACCACACTTCGTTAATTTTTTTTTTCATTGGTTGGGGATTTAAAAGCAAAACTTGTGAAATACCTGCTACTTTTTCACTAGCCCGTCGGGCTATTTACTAGCCCATACCAATTTAAACTAACCTCTATTGTAAAAGTAAAGGGTGTTTGTAGAATAAAAAAACTAATCACTGACTTCAAACTGGCACAATCATTATAAAAAGTATTACAATCATGAAAACAAACACTTCTGATCTCCAACTGGCAGCCATTTTTGTTTATACATGTTATGTAAATTTTGAACCGAACCGAATTCCAGAATTCTGGATCGGTGCACCGAATCGAACAGTATGAACCGCAGTGCACCGAAATTTTCGGTGCACCGCACAGCCCTAGATAGAATACATCAGGATGCTGTATTTTTATTGTAATTCTTGTGTTTACAGATTTTAACTGATGCCATATATTTTTAATGTTATGTAATGATTTTAAAGTCAGCAAATTATACCTCTACGGCTCAAGTGTATCTGATTTTTTTTTTACACAGATTTAATTTTGCAAAATTTGGTCAAAATGCTATGCTTTAATTAATGTTTCCAAATGTTGCTAATCCTCACTATACCATGTGTACAGAGAATTAAAAAAAAGAAAAGAAATTTATTTCCAAGGAAAAAGTCATGTTTTAAAAATAACCTTACATAAAGAGATCAAAGAATAAGATTAAGAGTATATTTGATTCAAATATTTCAAAAAGATATAGTTGATTATAAAATATTAATTAAAATCTATTGGTTTTATATTTAATCTAAAATTCACAGATAAATGTATTATTACCAGTCAGCAGGCATTGTGTGAATTACAATTCAACCAAATATAATTATTAATTAAAAGGCATTTGCCTCAGAGAAAAAAATACAACAAACAAATGTTTGTCACATTTAAATTTTGTTCATATTTTTGTGAAATTATTGCATGTGAACAATTGCTAAAATTAAAAGACAGTAAAACTGTCAATATGTGCAGCATTTCAAGCAGACTCAGCAATGGATTTGTTTTTATACCCCATTTATGTACATACTAGCCAAGATAATAAACTGAAAACTTATTAATTATGTTCCCCAAACGGAGTTTGGGAACATATTGTTTTTACTCTGTTTCTTATTATTATTATTATTAAGGTCTTCCGTCTTCAGCGGAAGACCTTCTTGTTATTCTTCGGTTTCTTTTCCACTGTTTTTCTTATTATTTTTTTTCTTACCGACTTTGTGCACGCGATTTCTCGAAAACGGTTCGTTCGATTTTCATGAAACTTTCAGGTCTGATAGAACATTAAAAAATCTTGATACATATTTTTTTATTTTGATGACGTCACTTCCGGTCCGAAGATTTTTGCGATTTAGTGATTTTTGGAGGGTCAGTTTGTCCGCAGGTTTTCTGAGAAAGCACTCATCACAGGAACGTGAAACTTTTAGCGAAGACAGAGCAACATATGTAGATCTGTAATACGTAGTTAACTTTCACCGGAAGTGCCACACGTCGACGCTCGCTATGGCCTGAAAAAAGTCATATTGAGAGTTTCAAATTTTCGAACACTTTCTGTACGATATCCTTTTACTTGGAAATATTTTGTTAAAACGTATATAACAAAATTTGTGCAGAATTACAAGATCTTTTAAATGATATCTCGAAAAAAGGGCTGGCCCCTAAAATAAAGAATCTAAAGGGGCCAAAATATTTTTCCTGATATCTCAAAAAGTATTGAGAATTTGTAATACTTCAAAAAGCAAAGTTGTTCAACATGACAAGTAGCAGCTTGCGAGTTCATCAAAATGCGTCGAATGACGTCACTTCAGGCCAAACAGGAAGTAGTAGAAAATTGCTTATTTTCACAGATATTGGTACAGTGCTGCTATCCCACAAGTTGACATGGGATGGGATTGGATATGATTCAGGATTGAGGATTCACGATAGAAACATATAGTAGTTAATCCAATCCTATCCTATCCTATCCTGTATCCTACAGCCAATCAGATTCGAGTAAAGGTTAATTCATATGTCAGAATAAATTACAGAAATGCAAAAGGATATAGAACGTTTACAAAAGAATTATTTATAAAATCACAAAAGAAAGTAGACGTTTTTTTCTTAACACACATTTATTCTATTACCTTCGAGTAATATGGCGTACGATCTAACCGTGAACGATCACCGGAAGAAGTTTCGCATATAAACAAAGAAGAGATCGGACATCAAAAGATCGTATTTCTTCAGCATGCTTGGATGATTAACTCAATTCCTACTTGTGTTACAGTTCAATAACATGTTTCTCTGTTAAATGTGCTCTGTTTGTCTGGATAATTCCACTTGAACCGTCAGCGGTGGACTATAACAGATCATAATCGCAGTTGTTTGGTGCAAGACCATGTAAGTATACTAAACACTGTAAATGTGTGCATGTTTATACATATCTCTCCCTTTAAGCAATGTTTTAATGACTTGAACTATTAAAAATATACTCTATTGTAATATACACAGAAATCGGATGTGGAAAAAAGAGGTTGTGTAGAAAGGGGAGGGGTAGGGGGTTAAATATTTACAAATACTTTGTCACATGATCAGATGTATTATACCTTTTTCAGTTTGTTATTGCTATATACTCATTTCCCTACTGTGGTTAAAAAATATTTTTTCTTATCTGATTGCAATTTAAAATAATTAAATGCAGAATCATCATGATCATTTCTTATGCTACTTTGTATAATAAGCCCACTCAGCACTTGCATGTACATTGTATGTATGACCTATTGTGAGTTAAACATAAAATGTGTAACATAAATTAATCATTTATTATCTTCTTCATTTCAGAGAATGGTACCCAATTTTGCCTGCCCTCATTAGTCATCACAATATAAAAGATTTTACATTTAGAAGTACGTATGATTAGATTATTTATTTTGTGTTTATGCATGTTTCATTAAAATACATCAAAATCATTATCTAAGTTGGGATGAAGTGTCTGCAGATTTTATGAATAAGTGATTTTCTTCTTTTTAAAATGTTGAGAGTAAAACTGAAATTAATGTATAATTGTTCTGGTCATCATGGTCATGTTATATGTATTTTCATTTTTTTTAATATTCAAATTTCAAGCAAAAAATGAAAAAAAAAATTAATTAACAAGATATTAAATAGATTAATACAAGCAGGAAATAGAGAGAGAAAAAAACATCCAAACATATAATCATACTAGTTAGCAAGACGACGAGATGAAATGAATTATAATCTACAAGTAAATTATGTAAATTATGATTGTTTAATTAAGATATGAGTTATGACTATGAAGTTGCAATATAAGATTTGATTTTGCTTGATTTCTTTAAAATTAATGCATTAC